CTGAGCTTGCATTATTTGTGCCATATTACTTAAAAACCTGATAATTCAGAGTGCTACGATAATTCAATGTGCTGTGATTATGTGGTGCCGGCAATTATTAGGTGAAATGTGGTAGTTTCCTTGTGATCCTCTCATCCCTAAGTACCCTGACTTTACCCCTCTCTCCTTCCTAGTTTGACAATTCCTTTCAATGAGCATGAAATTTAGAATAGATATTCTAAACGGGGAGAAAAACATTGGTAAGCAAAAAAGAGGTAAAGAACTGTCAGCTAAAATATAATAAAAATATGTAAAGGTAACCAAATAAGAAAAACGGTGGAACCACAGCTATTTTAACTAAAAAAGGTGACAAAAGTCACAGACCTTCCAGTGCTTATTTTAATGCCAAAACTGTCCCTTCACAGCTATAATGGTTTTAGGAGCTACAATTACTTAATGATGGTGAGGCTTTCACCCACTTAAAATAATTAGGAGTTACAGGACCTGAGGACAGGCTAGATGGTAGAGTGTTTGCCCTGCAGACATCAGGCCCTGACCTGAGTTTGATCTCGGAACTGCCCCACCTTAAAGAGTGTGATTTCCTGTCACACAAACATGACATCATCACCACCACCACAAAATAAGTAAAAATTTAGAAGCTACACAGTGCATGTGTCAGTAGTAGGATTCTTACATGGAACCATTATAAACATGAAGAATTATTTAAAATACTAGATATTTCATAGCATACTTCTAATCTGAGTTTAACAATGTGGTTTGTGTGTCAATGAGTAAAAGCTAAATATCAGAATATTGGATTTTCCTTGTAAAAGTAGAAAAATCATTTTTAAAAGTTTATTAATATTGTCTGGGGCCTACTATTATGCAGTTTTACTGTAAATAAGAGAAAAAAACATTAAACTACTCTTTATTTAGTCTATATTTTTTATAGCTTTTGCTTTACTTTTATTTTATTTTTCCTATTGACTTAATTGCCTTTTATTTTCTCTACTGATAATTCGTACTACAGCCTTAGAACAAATTAGGACAAGTAGAGGAAATGCACAACCTCTAAAAATTTGATAAACTTCAATCATAGAGGAAAAATGTAAGCAAAGTAATGAATTAATTAAAGCAAAATTAATTCAAGTAAAATTATATATGTATATATATATAAAAAAATTTTTGCCCCACTTACTTCTGACAACTAAGTTGAAACTGCCACATTCAAAATTTATATGCTACATGAACTTATGCAATTATATGAACTGCCTCATAATCATGGACTAGCCTTATAATCTCAATATAATAGCATAACTGATGAAATAATTAAAATAATTCAATTCTTCATAGCTTCACCATTTTAAAAACAACCCAGTGAATCTCTCCATACTACTTTTAAATTCTGTCCCAACTGGGACACAATTCTTAGTAATTCCTAAACATACCATAATACTAATATAAAGCAATTAATGATTGCATTTATTCTTCGTATATTTAGGTTTAACAGCAGACTGTTGACAAGTCACAGACTCCAGGGTTGAAACCCTAGCCTCAGCCTCAGATTTGTTATATTTTATTTTTAGACGTAGTCACTTCCCTCCGGTAAATGGTTAGTGACCACACGCGCAGGTCTGCACATGAGGAAACTAAAACGGGAATGATGTGCTGTGAATCAGATACACAAGACACAAGAAGAGCTCCTGTCAGGCCACGCTCGGCGTCTCATATTCTTCAGTAATATTTATGACAGTGCTATGCTGACATTTTCAATTAATGGGAATGATTCTTGAAGTTCAGCCATTTCCATGGCACATTCCATAGGTGCTGCTTCACCAGCACCTTCTACCACATGGCATGATACAAACCCATTCAATGAACGAAGCTCATGCTTCATTTACATGAACCTTGTCCAAGTTCTGAATGAGTTTGAATTCACACTCCCAGGAAAAAAATCTTTCATAAAGTTTAATATGGAAAATAAATTCCACCAGGATATACACATCTCAATAGTTCTGCATGCAATATAATGGAATTGAGACACTAAAACTACAAAGGCAGAAAACTGGAAGTGGGTGGGCAACCTAAGACAAGGACGGTTCAGAGATGCAAGGTAACAATTAAGTTCCAAGATATGCTGTACATTGTGCCCTTAATTTTTTTTTTTTTTTGCTTTTTGGGTCACACCCGGCAGTGCTCAGGGGTTACTCCTGGCTCATGCACTCAGGAATTGCTCCTGGCGGTGCTTGGGGGACCATATGGGATGCTGGGAATCAAACCCTGGTCCGCTGCGTGCAAGGCAAACGCCCTACCCGCTGTGCCATCGCTCCAGCGCCTGTGCCCTTAATTTTTAACAATACTTTATTATAGACTTAAATCTTCCTTAATAGTGGGTCTTTTGTTAAATATTCTTACCACAAAAAAAAGTTACTAAGTCAAAAACTGAAATAATAAAATATGAAAGAAACTTGATACTGTGAGTAGCAATATAAAAAGTGAAGGGAGGGTCTGAAGAGACAGGAGTATGATTGCCTGTAGAGTACCCCCCTCGTAAGCATCACTTGGAAGTCCAAATATTTATTGTTTTGTTTTGCTTTGTTTTGGAGTCATGTCCAGCAGTGTGTACTCAGGGGCTACTCCTGGCTTTGCACTCAGGTATCAATCCTGGAGAGCACAGTGGACCAGAACATACAGGGGGACCAGAACATACAGGGGTACCAAGGGTCAAATCCAGGTCAGCTGCATGCAAGGTGAGCATTCTCCTGGCTGTGCTATCACCTCAGCCCCCATATTTTAAAAATAAAAAATAATTCTCTAAAAGCATAAAAAAAGGTGAAGGATGAAATATGAAGGGGAAAAATGTTTTAAAATGCTTGTAAGTTTTCTGAAAGGTAAGTATTTCTCCAAGTTTTTTTTTTTCAGATATCTTGCATTAGATTTCTTCAGGAAGCTTGTTAAAGGAAAATAATTGGGAAAGGGGTTCACATCTAGCAGTGCTCAGATGCCACTTTCTGACTCTGTGCTCAAGAAGTACACTTGGTCAGAGGTTGCATGTGTAGATGGGATTTAGACAGGTTCGCAAATGCGTTGCAAGGCAAGATCTAACTAAACCTGATTGGACTGGAGAGAAATCTCATCCTGTTTCAACTCCATAATGAAACTCAGCAAGTGGGACACAGGATCACTGCTTCAGGTGACCCTAGCTCGTACTGTATTTGAAAAAACCTTTATGTAAGTTCTCCAAACCATTGTTATTCTCAAGAACACTTATAACACACTAGTATGCTCTTAAAAACTGTGTCCTACTGATTCATTTTCCTTTCTAACCAAAAAAGTTCTATTTCTTCCGACCAAGTTCCAAATTATACTACTTTCTATGTTTCTTAAAAGGGAGAGAAATAGAAAAATAAATTCCCCCTAACTCGTGTACTTTTATTGCCATGAGTCACTTTTGATTCATTTCTTCATTAAAAAAAAGCTTCCCTCAAAAAAGTATAACACAACTAGATTTCACTTATACAGTGGGATTATATTCAATTTTTTATATGGACTACTTTAAAAAATATACATCTTGAACAATTACTATCCAATAATAAAAATATGCCTAATGGTTAAAGACTCATGTTTAATAGCTCTATAAAAATTTTTTTAATTTTATGTTTCAAGTTTAAAAATCTCATAGTGTATTTAAACCTTTTACAAAAGAATTATTAAAAATATAATCTAAAGCATAGCAAAATAAGACTCACTCTCTAAATACATAACCATATATGATTTTGCATAGAAGAGTTGATTTTTCTCTTAGCAAATAGCTTCTTTAGCATAACTCCTTGAATGGCACAGTGTGAAGTGTATCTAGGTCAGTAACTTGTGAGTAATTAATATTCAAGAAAAGTCTTTCAAGTCATCTATGATTATTTTTTTAAATCAGAGGTGCTCGTAACTTTTCTAAATTACCATCTAGTGCTTTGGAAATATTTATGAGAAGATTAAATTTAATCGTTACAATAAATATTTTGTATTTATCTATTTTGCTGGAGTGATAGCACAGTGGGTAAGGTGTTTGCCTTGCACGCAACCAATCCGGGTTCGATTCCTCTGCCCCTCTCGGAGATCCTGGAAGCTACGGAGAGTATCTCACCCACAGGTATTGGACATGCCTAAAACATTAACAAAACTTGAGACTTGTTACTGGTGCCCGCTCAAGCAAATCGATGAACAACAGGAGGGCAGTGCAGTGTGCTACAGTGCTATTTTGCTTTTAGAAATGCATTGATGACTTTTAAACTATCTTGTGCCTCGTTTGTGACAGTATAAATATACTTTCATAAAATTAAACCTTATTTCTTTCTATATCTCCTTTTCTCACTTTTTCCTAATTTAGACAAGCTATAAGTAAGTAAAGTAAAGTAAAGGCCCTCCCGTTGATCATCGATTTGCTTGAGCGGGCCCAGTAACGTCTCCATTGGAGACTTTGTTGTTACTGTGTTTGGCATATCGAATACGTCACGGGGAGCTTGCCAGGCTCTGCCGTGCGGGCGAGATACTCTCTCGGTAGCTTGCCAGGCTCTCAAGAGGGGCGGAGGAATCGAACTCGGGTCGGCCATGTTGGCTGCGTGCAAGGCAAACGCCCTACCGCTGTGCTATCACTCCAGCCCTTAGACAAGCTATGTCCCTGAAAATTCTAACTAGTGGTGTGTTCCCACACTAATAATTTGAATAGCATTACTAAAAAAGAAAGGAAGAAATATGCAACGTGATTTATACAGAGAGATATGCACATATATTTGTATTTGCAAATATCAGTGAGACAAACAAATGACCCTTTGTACTAATACATTAAGCATGTGAAAAAATGAGGTAAATTACACGTGAAAGGGACAATTATTACTTCCTTTGCATTAATAGATTCAATCTATAGCCTCTTCAACCATAACATTTATTTTAATGAGTTTTATAATATATTTTAAAGACTAAATAAATAACATTTAGCAAGCCAGACAAAAAAGGGGTTTGGATACCTGGTTTGTCTCTGGCAGTCACGGAAGTGGAAGCAGGAAGCGGTAGCATCACTACCCAAAGCCAAAGTTTCCAGGAGCCAGTGAGTCTCATTGTGCCTCGAAACCATGTGAATAAATTAACATAGATCTGCAATAAGACAGAATATTCCAACTTATCTCATTGTATACAGTTCTTTTCATCATCTACACAAAAACTAAACAGTGTATTTTACTATGATATAATTACAAATAGATTAGATATGATTGTATATATGATTATATACCAATATTATGTGTATGTTAGTTTTGAGCAATAGCACAGAGGTTAGGGTGTTTGCCTTGCACGAGGCCGACTCAGGTTTGATTCTTCCATCCCTCTCGGAGAGCCCGGCAAGCTACCAAGAGTATCCCGCCTGCACAAGCAGAGCCTGGCATATTCGTGGCGTATTCAATATGCCAGAAACAGTAACAAGAAATCTCACAATGAAGACGTTACTGGTGCCCACACAAGCAAATCAATGAACAATGGGAGGACAGTGCTACAGTGCTATGTTAGTTTTGAAAACATGTTCTTTATGTATAACCTCATGCAGCATTTTTTTCAATGCTTAAAGTCACATCTTTCATACTAATTAACATGTTTTAAAATATTTTGTGAACACATAACATAAAATATGCCATTTTAGCCATTTTAAGCCAGTTTGGTAGTATTAAATGCATTTACAGTTTTGCCCATTCACCACTATCCATACTTTTTCCTCTTGAAATATGTATTTATTCTTCTGTGACCTTAATTCACTTAGTAAAATGTCTTCAAGTTTCATCCATATGTTAGAACTCCCTTTTAAGGTGCATAAAATACAATTTGTTCAGTTGGAGCAATAGTACAGTGGGTAGGGTACCTGTTTGCATTTAGCCAACCTGGGTTCAATCCCCGGCACCCAAAATCCTTCAAGGAGTGATCCAGGAGTAAAACATCATGAGCACCACAATGTGAGACAAAAAGAACAAAGAAAACATGCGATCTGTTTATTCATTTAACACCTGCTTAAAATCTACTTGCTCTCACATTTTGGCTATCTTGTTATGGTAAGTGCTGCCATGACCTTGAATGTACAAATATCCATTAATTCCATCTATGCTGTTTTTCTAAATAGTCGTTTTAAAAGACCTGAGGTGATATTTCATTGTGACTTTGATTTGCATTTTCCTAATGATTGGGATTATTGAACATCTTTTCAAGTGCTTATTAGCCATGAGTTTCATTTTGTTGAGGAATCCTATATTGTTCAAATCCTTTCCCAGCTTTTTAAATTTGGTTGTTTGCTTTATTGGTGGTCAGATGGGAAAAGTTCTTCATATACCCTGTAGATTAACTGCTTTCCAGATAGAAGATTAGAAAATAAATTTCCACATTGTTGATTTCAATTTGTCATATCTTTTGCTCTATAGTTTTTGATCTTTAAACAGACTGATCTGGGGGCTGGAGCGACAGCACAGCAGGTAGGGCGTTTGCCTTGCATGCGGCCAACCTGGGTTCGATTCCCAGCATTCCATATGGTCCCCTGAGCACCGCCAAGAGTAACTTCTGAGTGCAGAGCCAGGAGTAACCCCTGTGCATCGCCGGGTGTGACCCCCCCAAAAAATCGAAATTAAACAGACTGATCTGTCATTTCTTTTGTTTCTGTGCTTTTATTGTTATATATCATAATTTAAATTTAATTTATAGTTTTATTATTCTCTCATCTAAATATTAGTTTTATAGATATAAGATTTTTATAAAATTTACTGTGCTGCTACTTAATGTTATTACTAAGTGCATGAAGTCTGATCCTTTCTTCTATAAAAAAAAAAGATTCATTGCAATGTGTACTCCACCTGAGCCTTTCAAATGTATAATATAGATTTTTTTTTTTTGCTTTTTGGGTCACACCCGGTGATGCAGAGGGGTTACTACTGGCTCTGCACTCAGGAATTACTCCTGGCAGTGCTTGGGGGATCATATGTGATGCTGGGAATAGAACCCAGGTCGGCCGCGTGTGAGGCAAATGTCCAGCCCACTGTACTATCACTCTAGCCCCATAATATCGATTTTTTAAAAAAATTTTATTTAGACACCATAATTTGCAAAACACTGTCCTCCCATTGTTCATAAATTTGCTAGAGTATGCCCAGTAACGTCTCCATTTTGAGACTTGTTGTTACTATGTTTGGCATATTGAATATGTCACAGGTAGCTTGCCAGGCTTTGCCCAGTGGGCGAGATACTCTCAGTAGGTTGGTGGGCTCTCCAAGAGGGGCGTAGGAATCGAACCCGGCTCGGCCAAGCTGGCTGAGTGTAAGGCAAATGCCTTACTGCTGTGCTATCGCTCCAGCACATAATTTACAAAGCTGTTAGTAATGGAGTTTCAGATAACAATGCTCCAACTTTAACTACACCATCAAAGTTATGTCTGTCAACCAATGACCTACTATCCCCTCAAACCACCATCCTTTATCCTTAGAAAATTCTTTTTCCCCCATTGATTATAGTTCAGGTAACATGTTTACAACAGTATTAGTTATACCTCTAAAGTATCCAAGGCTCCTGATCCTATAGTATCACCAATTTGATTTCTCTTTCTAATCCCAAATCCAGAGCACTATATATTTAACACTAATGTGTTCTCTTCCATAACTCTTTAAGAATACTCTATGATTATTTTAACAAAAGTTTTAATAAGTAAAATACCAATAATGGAGAACTTACATTACTTAAACTCGTTTTTCTAGTGAAATAACATAAAAATAAATTTCATCTGAAAATACAGTTGCTCTTCAATATATTTGACAGTTGCAGTATCACTAGAATTTCAACTGTAAGAGTTCTAAATGTGAAAATATTTGTTTTCCATCAATTTTTGCTCAAGTCAAATACAAAAGAATCCATTGCACCAAAATACCTAATAATGTCTATAGATACTCTTTAGAAAAAAATTAATCTAACCATTTTTGCTATTATGTGTGTGTCAAATACCCTAAGATCAGCATTTTCAAATTAATTCAAGATTTTAGATATTTCTGGATGAATAGCCAGAAGCAGAAATTGCAATATTAACACCATATGTGTGGTTCTAAATATCAAACAGCTGGTTTTATGCCTTATTTCTTTTGAAGTCTCTCATCTGGATATAGTCCTAATCCTCAGATGACTTTACAAACTCATCCTAGCTGTTATTTCAAGTAAGTTAATAAATGTTAAAGCAATTAATTAATTTCTATAAATGAGCTCAAAAATTACCAGAAAGAATGCATTTTCATCCTTGATTGCACTTTTAACCAGAGTAATTTTTACTAGTTGATAAATTAGTAGTAAGATAGTTAGAACTATGACTTCATATCTGAATTCTGCCATTTATGAAGACATTATATAATTTAGTGTGTTCATCTATTCATCTGAAAACTAGGAATACAATTAAAAAATCAATTGTTTAATCCATAGAATGTCCATAATAAAAGACCTTGGATTTAGTTTTCAAGTAAAGCACTTATGATAATTGTTTGTTTCATTTATTTCTAGGTGATAATTAGTAAAGTTTTATTATTATATTTATCTCCCCCTCCTGAGATTGATAATGATATTGACCATGAAATAAGTGACAAAGCATCCTAGAAATTTAAATTCACTGGAACTTTGGTCTTTATTACAACAACAAAGAACCACAAAGTTATACAATCATTGCAAATGAATTAAATTTTTAAGGTCTCCTATTTCCTTAAACCCCATAGAGAATAGCATTTAGCTTTAAACTTTTCGATTCAAAGTACTTAAAGAGTAAGATAGGATGGTTCATTGATCAAATGTTTCAATTATTGAGTAAATTATCCTCCCATTAGTCCACTGACATGTGTCTCACCCAGTTCAGCAAGAACTTGAAAGAATCTTTCTCTCCACCATTTGAATTCAAGTGACATTTCCAATCACTGAAATGATTGAGCACTTCCTCTTTTCTGAAACTGTCATTCTCTTTGTTCTCTCTCCTCTCATAGTCTCTGGAATTTCCTTCTAATTTGCCTCACCAGATCTTTTTTCTACCCAATTTTTTAATATTAGAATCAGTGTGCCCTCCTCAACTGTCTTCTTAGAATGTCTCCGTAGGTAATCTTATTATTCTCTTCGCTTTAAATACTATCAGATGATGAACCTAAAATTTACACTGGGCCAGAGAGAAAGTTCCAACAGGCTAGAGTACACGATCTGCCCACAAAAAGACCCCGTTTAGAGCCTTTTACTGATGGTTCCCCATGTACTGAGCCAGGAATAGCCTCTGAGAACTTTCAGGTGTAGCACCAAAAAAAAATAAATAACATTCATATCTCCAACCCAATCATCCCCTCTGAACACTATATTATTTTTGCAGTTGCATAACCAGTACTGCTTTTTAGATGTCACATATATTTTTATATTATGTCTTTTTTCCTTGCCTTTCCTTTGTAGTTGTGGTTTTAATGAGCAAGGGTCACACTCACTTGGCATCCATACCTATTGGAGGTTTTATATTTGGTTGTGAGTCTCCCACACTTTAATTGAGGTAATTTTATATACTTAGTTGTGGTGCACTGGGAATACACAGTTTGTTTAAAACACAAGGGATCTCACTCAGCGAGTGAAATTCAATTGTGGTCTTTTGTCTATAAAGCAGGTACCTTATATTGAGCTATCTCCAGGATATTATCTACTGCTATATCGAAATCAAACACTTTCGGTCATATCGTATTCTTTTCATACTCATTATACTAAATAATTAGCACCTTTAAAATGTTCATGCTAGAAACCCATCAAATTCTTTTGTCTTCCTCCTCACCATTTTCCACAACTAAACCATCCAGTCATATCACTGTCACCCCAAAATTTGTTCTATCCCATGTTTTCCATTCCTCTGCTACCGTGCTACATCAGCTTTCCTTGACTAGACCCAAAATCTTATCCACTAACTTCCCCAGTTCATTTACTATCTCCTGTCCAAATTTATTGTCTACATTGTAGTAGGCAGATTTTCTTTCAAACTAAACTTGAGGTCTGGAGATTGGCTCAGAGGCTAAAAGCACCTGCCTTGTAAACAACATAACTTGAGTCTGATCCTTAGATTCACTAAATTTACTAAATGC